CCATTGAAACCACATCCCAAGGCCTGGCCGGGGTTGGCAGGGGGTGTAAAAGACCAGGAGGTTTCCCCCCCCCCGTGGCTTTGACAAGGCACACGTTTGACAGGAACGCACAAAGTCAAGTAGGTCTTTGCGCATGTGAGGCCACCAGAATTGTCTGCGCAAGAGTTGAAGAGATTTGACGAAACACCAGTGTCCAGACAACTTAGAACCGTGGGTCGAGTGTAGAACGTCCCTGCGGAGAGAAATGGGCACGTAAAGTTTGTGGTCAGAGTATACAAACCCCTCCGGGCTGCGTGTACAATCCGGGAGGGAACGAACAATGTCCTCATCTTCAGGGGAAAAAGCCGAACGGTACTTTCCCCCCCAATCCCCCGCAAGAGGGGGGTTGTGAGATGAAACATGAGAGTTCCCAGGGGTGGGGAGTTTTCGAGCTTGGGCGCGCGTCACAACAGCTCCACCCAATTGAGCAGGCGTGAACATAGAGTCGATAACAACGTCATGCTGACTGTCATGCTGAGGGAGGCGTGACAAAGCGTCAGCGAGGGAGTTAGAAGAACCAGGAAAATGGTGCAAAGTGAACTGGAACTTAGCGAAAAAATCAGCCCATCTGAGCTGTTTGGCATTAAGGCTCCTAGGAGATTTCAATTGTTCCAGGTTCTTGTGGTCAGTCCATACCTCGAAAGGAATTCTGGCCCCCTCTAACCAATGACGCCATGAAGAGAGTGCGAGTTTGATGGCTGATGCCTCCTTTTCATAAATCGGCCAGTGCCTCTCAGCATCAGAGAACTTTCTGGAGACATACGCTAAAGGGTGCAGTTTGTTATCAGAACCCGCCTGTAGGATTGCGGCGCCCATAGCCACATCAGAAGCGTCAGTGTGCACAATGTACTTTTTCGTTTCATCAGGGTGCGCAAGTACAGGCTCGGAAGTGAACATGGTTTTCAACCGGTTGAATGCCTCGGCGCATTCGGGGGACCATTTAAGGGGGGCGCCTGGCTTAGAGGCATCAAACCCCTTCCCTTTAGTTTTTAACAAGTCAGTTAGGGGTAAAGCGATCTGGGCGAATCCTTTTATGAAAAATCTATAGAAATTGGCGAATCCTAAGAAACCCTGCAGTTGGCGGCGGGTTCGAGGGGGTTCCCAATCTAGGACTGCCTTAATTTTTTCAGGGTCCATCTCCAAACCCCCACCCGAAATGCGGTAGCCCAGAAAGTCAATGTGGGATTGGTGAAAGGCACATTTAGAGAGCTTGGCAAACAGTTTGTGCTTATGTAACGTTTTCAAGACCTTTCTGACCAGTTTAATGTGTGAGGGGAGGTCCTGAGAGTACACCAACACGTCATCTAAATAAACAACCACTCCCTTGAACAGAAATTCATGTAGGACCTCGTTGATCAAGTTCATGAAGACCCCAGGAGCCCCTTGAAGTCCGAAGGGCATGACGAGGTACTCGAATTGCCCCAAGGGTGTATTGAAGCCGGTCTTCCCTTCATCCCCCTCCCGAATGCGCACTCTGAAATAAGCATCCCGGAGATCCAGTTTAGAGAAAATCTTCCCCTTAGTGGCTTCCGCTACTAAGTCTTTAATCAAGGGGAGGGGGTAGGCATTTGTGGCTGACACAGCATTCAGGCCCCTGTAATCTGTACACAAACGGAGGCCCCCATCCTTCTTCTTCCGAAACAATACTGGAGCTGCGAATGGGGAAGTAGCCGGGTGGATGAAGCCCCTGGCTAGGTTCTTATCAATGAACTTGCGCAGTTCTCCCCGTTCGTCCGGACCCATGGCATAGACTTTCCCTTTAGGTAGTTTACAACCTGGGAGCAATTCAATTGTACAGTCCGAATTCCGGTGGGGGGGTAATTCATCAGCTTCCACTTCACTAAATGCATCCGCCAAGTCATGATATTCCGAGGGAAGGCAGTGCATCTCTTCAGGGGTAAGGACACCACACGGAAAAGTCACAGCTGGAGCCAAACCCCAAGTCTCAGCCCAAACGTGAGCGCTGCACTTTGGAGACACAAAATCCACTCTCCCCTCTTCCCACAGTATATATGGGTCATGAGAAAATAACCAAGGTGCCCCCAACACCAATGCGAATTGAGAGTCCGGGGTGACAATGAAAGGCCGTTCTTCCCAGTGGGTTCCCACTCCCAACCGCAGAGGCATGGATTCATGCAAGCATGGTTTCATGGGAGCCCCATCCATTTGGGTGAAAATAATGGGGGATTTTAAGCGTTTAATTCCCGCTTCTAGTGCGGTCACTACATTTGGGCTAATTAAGTCTCTCCCACAGCCCGAGTCGATCAAGGCTTTCACCCGCACATGGGTGCCCAAAAGGGGATTAATCAAGGAGACAGTAACAAAAAAAAGGGAGGGGGGTTCTCTCACCACGATCGGCGCGTCTGCCGAAGAGCCCTGTCGTGTTGCGCCCCTCACAACAGGACTTTCTCGTTTTCCGGCGGTTAGATCCCAAGTAAGGCAATATATCCACATTCAGAATGAAGCAAGATTTATTTCCAAAGCATGGTTGATCACGAACATACAAGGATTGTTAGTAATAACAATACTACCAAGGGGGACAGGGTATATAGAAAATTCAAACCAGGTTTAAACCAATGAGCTCATTTCCCTCTACAGGTTTATAGATTAGAAATGGCGCGTAGCTCTCTGAGAACTGAAACGGCCATTCCAATAAACACAAGTGAACTTCCCACGGGAACTAATAACAAGCCAGAGCGAAAGACACAACATCCCTGTGTACCAGCTGCAGAGTCTTGGCGGTTACAGAAGCCTAGGACGATATGGCAAACTACAAGGTCGGGGAGAATGAGTGGGGGGAAGGGAACGAAACTCGTCCCCAGAGAAATGGCAGCTTGCTGACACCAAGTTAGAGACATCAAAAATCCCAAATTCATCCTTTATTTGCTGCCCTCCAGGGACTCCCCCCCCTTCCGCCCCTTTGACCCCAAAGGTAGGAGGAGACCCCAAAGGTAGGAGAGAAGAGATACCATCCCTTCCTGAAGATCCCCCCCCTTCTGCCCCCCTCAAAGCTCCAAAGGTAGGAGAGGGCAAAAAAGAAGAAAAACTGTCTCTCTTTTTGGGGGGAGTTTGAACTGACACCAAACGCCCTGTAGGCACCCTTTGAGCAGAGTCCACAAGGGATTGAAGAGGACCACCACCTAAAGCCAAAGGTGGAGCAGACACAGAGGGCACAGAAGAGACCAGAAGGGCTGGTGCTGGGGTGTGTGAAAGACCCATAGGTGGGGGTGGTAAAGATGGGAAGGAGGGGGGTGAAGTTGGAAATAACAAGAGGTCCATAGGATCCTCAGGGGGGGACAGACTCTCCGAATCTGGCTTAGCCTCCCCCTTCTCAAAATCCCTCTTCATCTTCTCCCCCTCCTCCCGTCGTTCTAAAGCACGCACTTTGACAGATCTGGGAGACAAGCTAGCAGAGCCAAATTTAAGATTTTCCCTTAAAGTCATTTGCAGAGATTTTGATAGAGGAACATTATTGTCCAACAAGGTTCCTCGAGTCATAGCAGACAACCAAAACTCCAAATAATCACACTCTTCAAGTTTGTCATGCTCTTTACAATACCCCCGCAGGGCCCCTACAAGCTGAACATCAAATGAACCATGAGCTGGCCACTTCCCCCCTTCCAGGGGATATCCTGGCCAGACAGACATACAAAATTTAGCAAGCTTATCAACAGGATATTGCAAATCCCTAAATCTTTTCCCCCCTTCATCTGGAGCCACCACAGAATTCCAGTTTTGTACCATACACATCAGTGGAGTCCTAACTTTAATCTTACTTCCCTGATTCCCCATTTCAACACAACCCACACACACACACAGCCCCCAGGCAAAAAGCAGAAAGAAAGAAAACAACAAAGCACACTCTCCCAAAACACACACACCTCCCAGAGATCCCACCACCAAATCCAAAATGTTCCAACCCTCCACCCTCCAGGTGACACACCCCTGCTCCCTCTGTAAGGAAGACTAACGAAGGAATTACAGGTCCACCCAGAAGGTACCTCTATGCCGGCTGACAGAAGGTGGTTCCTCGTCACTGGACTTCAGGGATTCGCCAACTGGAGCCCAAAACAGCTACGTCCATGAGCAGGCCCGAGGCCCAAGGATAGCTGAAAAACAGCCAGGTGCACCTTCCTTAAGGCATCTGGCCCCCCCGCTTCCAGCAGCAAAATTCCGGATCACCAGTGGTGAAAACCATCTGGGTCGCCAGATTTGTGGTACAAATTAATATCCAGTCAAAAATAGAAGACTGAAGTCAGAATGAGGAGGAAGTTCTTGTATTTTATTGCAATGAAATACGGAAAACAGTTAGGCCAAAAGACCCATCAAAACCGACTGCTTTCTGAACCCAATCAGGAAATACACGAAGTTAAATACGTAAAATGACATCATCATATCATCATCATGGGAATAATACACAAAAGGCATAATTGGTTACAAAAGCTTAAACAACATTTACATAGAAATCCCCTTATTGGTCCAACGTAAGAAAGGTGTGCTTATGCAAGAGTGTCATATATTTACTTGACATAACCTAAGTCATATCAGCCAAGGCTTGTGCTCGCCCAAACAAAAGTGTTGTTCTCTGATAGTGGGGAGAAGATTCATTGTGACCCAGACACTATGCAGTTATAACCTAAACAGTTGGGACCATGAATCTTATATCTACTTTTATGCGAGAAGAATGTCTCCTGTGTCTTGTCTGTTAACAGTAACAAGGGAAAATTCCCCTTGACCCACAAGTAGAGAGGCCCTCTATATACTAGGCCTTTATTATATTCAAATAATACATTGGATCCCCAATAAACCTATAAAAACCAGAGGGATATAAACATAGCAAAAAACAAAGAAAAATCTATATAGTCCCAGCTCTACTACAACCCCTCTGAAGCTGTTCTTTATTACCTTTCAGCTGCTTCATGACACCCTCCAGCAAGAGACTGATGTCACAGAAATCCTAGATCCTCCACTTCAACGCAAGAGGAAAAGTCACTGGATTCTCAAACCTCTCCTTTTCTTCATACCTGAAGAGAAACCATGTTAAGCCACCATCTATCCCATCCAGAACTCCCACCAGTACAGCAAAGCAATGAAGGAAGGAATATGCAGAAGGCCTAGAGACACTGGTCAATACCGAAAGCAGAGGAAGAGGGGCGGCCCTTTGGAGAGAGGAGAGTCTACCCCTTGCAGTTACTCTTGAGATTCCAACGCTACACATCTTAAGGCCAAATCAGATGTCAAGAGGAAGGGGGGGGGGAGGTTGTCTAACAGCAGCAGTCCTTTAACCCTGCTTCACCTCTGCCCAGGGAAAAACAGAAGCTACTGTGGTGCAATGATTAGATAGCTAGGCCAGGACTGGGGTCAGGTTCATTTCCCTACTCAGCCCTGCAGCACGTCACAAGACAATCACTGCCCTCAAAAGCATCCTTTCTTCCGCTCCTTTTAATCACCTGCAACTGGTATGAGGCATGGAAACTTCAAGCCCAATAAAGTCACATCATGCTCCTTCCTCCTCTAAAAATGTCTGGGGAAATGTACAGCAGAGAGGCAAAGTTTCCAATCAGCAGCCGTGAAATTGTCTAGTCTGGTCTGAGCAACACCTCTAAGAGCTTGTGCTGTGGTGGCAGGAATGTTTTTTTGCTGATGGCACAAGCCCCAACCTCTGCTTCCTCATGAGTAGCCTCTCTCACAGACAGTGCACCCCAGATTGGGCAGAGTGGTCATCACAGAGCTTGATGCTCATGTGGCCCACTAGGCAGCCCAGATGCCAATCAAGACGCGAGCTGAGTCTCATCACATTTACTACCTGCCATTTTGTGGAACTGAAAGAGCTGAGGTGACTAAAGTCAACCGGTGCATTCCCAAGGCTGGAGAGGCTTGTTTGACAAGTGAAACCACCCCTGCTTCAGCACCAGAATTCTGCCAGGACCTTCTGGAGATGCACATCCAGGTCTTCACCCTGACACCCCCACCACCCTACTATTGGGGGCATGATTTTCTGTCCATGGGACTGTGTTCATCTGCAGTTTGCCATTTATAATCAGATGGAGATCAGTGATTTTAGTCACATCGGTTGTGGTCCTGAGCCTGAAGGGCCACTTTCTTCACATACTACCCAGATCCATCCCAGCATCAGGAGGGTCATTAGACAGAGGGATCCACGTACCTCTGCAAGGTGCTTCGGACATCCTAAAGAAGGGAAAAGAAAGAAAAGTCAACAAGTGCCACGGGCCAAATTGGAAAGACCCTCAGATCCTGGTGAGTGATGAATTCTAACTCCTTTTATTGTGTGTCCAACTCAAGGATGGGGGCTGGCTTTTCATAAAATGGGAGAACTGCTTCATGAGGAAACGACGTCAGCAGGCAAAGTGAAGCCATTTCAGAGGAGAGCTGCATGATGTGCTGCAGATCTTACACACAGCCCTCATTTCTGGTTATCCTGAAGAGGTACCTACCAATCTCTTATTACTTGCATCTGTTACTCAAATGTACACACACAAACGTACACATGCTTCAGAGATTCTTCCACTGATTTCCTGTAGCTGCCTAACCACTCAACTAACAGCCATCCCTTCTTCTCCACTAATGTCACCAGTGTTCCCTCTAAGGTGAGTTAGTGTGAGCTAGCTCACAGTTTTTTAGCCTCCAGCTCACACATTTCTGTCTCAGCTCAGGAAGGATGGCCCCAGAGCAAACTGATATATCCAACGGCCAAATCACTCGCTCACAACTTTAATGCCAGTAGCTCACACAGTAGAATTTTTGCTCACAAGACTCCACAGTTTAGAGGGAACATTGAACCCCAGAGCTTTCCCTGGACCTTTGGTTAGTCACTAACTGCTTAAAATGGTGCCACATTCCCTATTGGATGAGGGACGCACCAGCAAAGGGTACTTCAATGCCTTCCTGGAACAGAGAATTCTACCTTCCCCACACCACCAACATTTATGAGTCACGGCCTCTTGATTCTCAGCCTGAGCAAAGGAGGTCTCCAGAGAAGAGCAGAAGCCGAGAAGAAAGGGTCTGGAGCCAGCCTTCTCCAAAAGGGGACCCTAGGCTGTTCCTGCCCCACTCTCACCTGTAGGAGATCTCCGGCTGGCAGCTGACTCTTCTCCTCCATCTCCTGGATGAGGCTGTCCAGAGAAGAGAGCTCCTCAGAGAGTCTGGCCAGGTGCTGGTCCCTGTTTCTTTTCACCTCCTTCTCCACCTCTTCCATCTGGGCCAGCAAAGGTCTCTCTTGTTCCTCCAGAAAGGTGTGCAGTTGCCTGATCTTGGCTAATGTATTTTGCTTCTCCCCTGTGGTTTGCTTCTGAGATGGGAAGAGAAGAAAAGCAGGCCAAGGTCAGGGACACAGCCGGTCTCTGCAGTGGGAAGAGGCACCTCAGGAGGCCCCTATCGGAAGGGCACTTCGGCCTTTCACAGACATCACAGTGAACACAGGAAAGAGAAAAGTTCATAAGACAAACAAACAAAACCTTCTATATTACAAACATAGAAACAACATTACAAAAAAGAACACATTGGGGGGGTCGTGGCATTGCCAACAAACAAGATGGTCTCTTAATGCTCATACTCTCATCCCTCTCCCCCCTTTTTCCCACCAACCTTACCAGCTATTGAAAGTAATACCCACCTTGACAATATGAGAAAATCTGCGTACACCGAAAACAGTAATGCTAGATCTGGTTCTTGTTCTGTGCAGTCCTTTTTCCCCAGGGTGATTCAGCTAGGGACACACAGCTGAGCCCGGGCAGTGGAGACAAAATGGCTGTGGGGCCTGACACACTTTTACTCGATCGAGCCGAGATTACAAAACAGGACCTAGTTGATTCTTTCCAGCGATTTGAGACAGATATTCTAGAAGAACTCTCAACAAAGCTGAGGCTAGATGAAATCCAACTGTCCGTGCAACAAGTTACCCAAACTGCCAATACAGTGATGGAAATGGGGTCAGCTGCACAAATTTGGCAGCTGCGAGAACATGAGTCACAGGCGCGAGAAAAAGTCATGGCAACTGAAAACACTCAGAGGGTTAATAATTTAAAATTTAGGGGCATAGCTGAACAGGCGGAAGGGCATTCAGATTTACCAATTTATGTTGCTAACTGGATTGCCTTCACGTTACGACTTGAAGAGGGCAGTCTGTTTGTTTCCCCACTAAAACACCCTCCACATGCCGACCCCCAAACTCCCGAACAGAGGATGAGATACAACACTTGAGCAGAAAGACCACTGGGGAGAAAAGAGCTAAGAAGCCCATTATCCTCACTTGGTCTCCCAATCTAAACTGCAGCTTCCCTGACTGCATTTTGGGCAAGAAAAAACATTTTTTTTGGGGGGGGGGGAATCAGCATGGTACTGAATATCCCAAGTACTCTCCCCCTAAGAATTAGCAATTGCCAAACACCCATTAGCTCAATTCAGGATTGGTGGGGTATCTATTGGCATTTCCAGGAAGCATTTCTTTGGAGATGGGACACCCTCATCTATTTTCAGATACTTCTCCTGGCTTGCCATGTTGGTGCATGCCCACAACTTGCGTCTGGACACAGATGTTCATCTGCTGAGGATTCACTCCACAGCAAAGTGTGCCTTCAGAAGTTAACTGATTCTGCCTCAAACAAAGACAGCAGAGAACAACAACAAAAGGTTCTAGATCTGAATGAACAACCAGGGGCAGACTGCCCACCAGGTGGCATTAGGTGATTGCCTAGGGCGCCGGAGGGCAGGGAGCCCCAGGGGCACCAACAGTGTGCAGTTCTGTGGCACCCCCCAGCCAGGGTGTAACTCTGCTTGTAACTGAGGGCTTGATGTGCTGAATACTGACCATCTGTGAAGGAATGTCCAAACTGGAAGGGATGAGGCTCTCACATGTGCTGATTTTTCTGCTATTTGGACTTCATCCTCCCCCATACTAGTTCCAGAATCCCCTCACTTCCCAGTCATGGTGACACTTACGAGCAGGTCTTGACTTTCCTTCTCTACATCTTCTTTATATGCCAGAATTCTTTCTCTCTCCTTCTTCAGAATCTCCAGACGGCTGCAGAACTGATCCTGTGGGGAGGGGGAGGGGGGGCATTCCAAAACTGAGATTTTTTTTCCATTTTAGAAATTTAAAACATACAAGAAGCAAAACTGTCATTAATGGCCAAACTAGATCTAATTGCCCCATGTCCGTAACAGGATTTTCAACAACATTTCCCAAATGCTAAACACCACTAGCTTTCTCTTAAGAATGGTGCCTCACTTCAATGCCAAGATACTCCAATATTATGTATAATCAGTGTATCAATATATTGTGCTAACACTTGTGAAGGAATACATTTTCTCCTGGGAGGTTGGCTAGGGACAAAACCCTCCACTGTGCATTTTAATCATTTTCTTTCCTTATGAGCTAAGAACAGGCAGGAGGGGAGAAGGGGGAGGAAATTAGTCCATGGCCTTCCAGAGGCATCTTTTAAGAGATGCTAATAGACCAGCAGCTGAGACAAGGGTATGGGCTGGTTCACCACCACCACCCCTTATCCTATCAGGGAACCAAGAGTTGGGGATGTCAAATTCTAGAAAGGCTGAAAAAGGGGCTTCCTGGAGACAACAGGAAAAGATGCCTTGACTCGGATCAAGAGGGAGGAGAAACAGAGGGGATAAAATCTTCTTGAAACAGGAAATAGCTCCCTTTCCTTTGGGATGCAGCATTAGTGAGAACAGGCAGCTCTCTTACCTGAGGAGGGCAGTCATTTTGCACTATGTGCTGTCCTGGAGGCCTAATGAAAGCTCTAAAATAATGGAGATGTGGTAGAGATTTTGTAATTTCCTAAGCTAGAAGAGCCTGTCCTAATTTTAACATCTAATTGGGGCATGTTTTAGGGAGAGGGACAGAGGATGTGTGTTTCTGCCCATTTTTTTTAGATTCCCCTGCTCAAATCTGGTGCTGTGCTAAAAGTATACTTGTAAACATTTTCTTTTTAAGAAATCCTTTAAACTTTCAATGCTGGTAGTGGGTCTCTGTACGACATAGACCTCCAACTGTTTTGAACATGCTATTTTAAACGAAGCTCCACGGAGGGGGTTGGCAAGTGGCTATTCCCCCAAGGGCACACAAAGCAGTAAACTGTCCCCATGGTAGCCCCCATGGTGCTGGGAAGTGGGAGGCATAGAGGCAAGGCCTCTGAGCTTGGAAGGAAAACTAGGAGCTCTGATCCTCTCAGTGGGAAATCCGTATATTGATCAGGTGGCGGCAGCTACTCAAGAGTAAAAGAAGAAGAAGAAGAGAAGATTGGAT